CTTCAGTATCGACATTTCCTTCAATACTTATTAAATTTTGCCAATTTATTGTACATAGTCTACGTTTGGCTTCTTCGTAATTTGCTTTATGGTATTCCGGCACTTCCTCGTATTCCCAGTCGCTGGAGGAAGAAGAATTTTGTACGAAGATTGAGTATTCGATTGCTGTGTGAAACACTTCATTTTTCCATAAAGGTGCTAATGATGTATCCACACAGAAGTCTTCAGTACAATTTGTAAATAAAAGGTCTACATATGAGTTTTGTTGATTTTTTACATGATTTATTTGATTAAGACCAAAATAAGATATTTTGTCGAATAATAATTGTAATGTTTTATCTTCACCTTCGACCGGGAGTAAAAATGATTCATTTTCAATGTCTGTAATAAAGTCTGCGTTTCGTTGATTGAAGTCGCCATAAATATGCAGTTTTACTTCTGGTTCCATATTTGACATTATAGTTTCAACAATTTGAAAAAATAGTTCAAAAGACTGCTGGCATATTTAGGTGGAAAATACACTGAAGAAGAAATGTGTATTTCACCGGCAATAAGTGCTTTGACCCAGACATTTTCGAATTCCTTGTGCTTATTTGTTATGATTTCTTCAGAAGTAAAGTCAGCATTGATGGCAATGAGCACTCCACCACCAGACTTTTTATTACACAGTTGAAAATTCCTGTCGTGCCGGAATACATTAAAATTGTTTTCAAAAATTGCTTCGCTTCTGACGCTTTCGTCCCAGCTTGTTTCAGTTCCAAGAATTATTTGAAAAGAAGAAGATAGAATGTTCTGGTGGATTTCTTTCATTTTAGCTGGGCTTTTCATGCGATTGAAATTTTGGCAACACACCAAAATTTCAGTCGCATTCTGTTGAGGAAGTGAAGAGATTTTTGGAGGGTCAGTATTACTTACATTAGCAGGGTCTACCTCATGTAGAGTGTCGTCATTCGATAATAATAATTCCCTTGCATGTGAGTAGTCGTCGTTACTTCCTTTAGTAGAGTGCGTCAGACGCGCGGTGTGAATTCAGGTCTGCCAAAGCGTCGGTGCGTGGAATTCCGAGTTCTTCGTGAACGTCCAGGAAAATTTCACGTAAAAGGGCTGTTTCCGTTGGTAGTCCTTCTGCGTTTGAAAAGTCGATGTAAATGGAGTTCACCTGTCGCCGGGCTTCAACCTCTCGAAACAGAGTATTAGTATAGCACAGCAAATTTGTAGTAGTAGAGCGGTGCTGGACAAACCCATGCTGGAACTCCGATATTATAGGATGAACCACATTGTACAGAGCATTGTGCACTAAGGTTTCAAAGACCTTGCTAATGCAACAGAGAATTGATATTCCACGGTAGTTTTCAGCTCGGTTTCGATTACCCGCTTTATGGATTGGCACAATTGAAGCTGTCTTCCAAACATTGGGAAATGATCTTTCGCTCAGCGAACGGTTGAATATGCAGGAGATCGGAGAAGCGAGTGAGCGTGCGCAATATTTGAGCAGAGATGGGGGAATACCATCTACCCCAGGGCCTTTAGAAACATCGAGGTCATTCAAGGCTTTCATAACGTCGTCCGGTGAGAAGCGCAACGTTGGGATATTCAGGTTGTACTCGTGGATGCGATCGAAACTTGAAGGATTTAGAGGTGGTGAATTTGTGTTGTAAACTGATTGGAAGAAGCTCGCAAACAAGTTAGCAACATCGACAGGGGAGCTAGCAGCGATCCCGTTAAAACTCAACTATGTCCGGAATACGATTACCAGACCGTTGTGATTTCACGAACTTCCAAAACGCCGATGGGTGCTGCTTCAGATTCGCTTGCGTTCGCTGGACGTACTCCCCATAGCTAGACTTCAACAGTCCGTTGTATCTCGTTTCGATTAATCGGAGACTATTTTTGCTCTCGTTGGTTCTGGTACTGAAATAGCATTTGCGCGACTTACGCAATACGTAGCTCATGGCTCCACCAGGGTTGCACTGAGGTTAACCTCGTAACACGCCTCCGGAGAGAAACTCGCGCATAGAGTGTTTCATACAGATTGTCGTAGAATTGGTCAGCAATAGCGTTGACAGACACACCATCCAGAATCTGTTGCCAATTGATAGTGAACAGTTCATTATTCAACGAGCCAAAATCGCAGTGCCTGAAATCCAATTCAGGTGGATACGAAAAATGGTGAAGATAGGATCAATTTGACTGCGAGGGTATGTGCATGCGCTCTCGCTGACATCGCTGGATAATGAGCTGGAAACCACGAAACTATCAGGAGGCGGATGGAACGTCGAATCGAAGTACTTGCCTGGCAACGCCGACTGGAAGACCCCCTCACCATTTCCGACCGCAGGGCCGAGACGACTTTGATGGCAGGATACACCGGAGAGTGAAAGTGTGGAGGTTGGCGTTGCAGGCTCGACTGGGTCGGAGGGTTCGGGGGCTTCCAAGATGCTTTATGGCGTGCGTCTCGGTGAGGTGAATTCCAAGATTGTGGAATCAGTAGAGCGCAGGGCAGCAAAGACGTTGGCATCGGTATGACTAAAACACAGTGAAGCATCAGGCACGGTAGGGTTCTTAACATATTGGTACTTGCCAGGAGTAGTGAGTTGGAAGATCCCATTACCGATGTCAAAAGCAGGCCCGGGACGGCTAGGACAGGAACTGTAACTGCAAATCACGACTGCTTTGACTGGTTCCGGGACTTCCATGAGGCTTTTTTTAGTGCGTCCCGAAGATTGCCGGTTAGTACTCGTCAGGTTGTGAGGACGTTGATTAAGCTTCCAAATTTGGTTTCCGAAAATTTGAGGAGCATAATGGCATAATCATTACAAACTGATATTTTTCCGCTCTCATATGCTATCAATAACACGTGTGATATTGGAGCAAAATATCATGCTTGATATTGATTTGACAAGCTCCTTTGATATTGCGAGACTATTCACAACGTGTGAAGTTGAAGGTGAGAGTTGAATCGATGCAAAAATGAATCCGTTGCACCCCGTTTTATTACAAAGAGAAGGTTTAATAATGCTATCTCTTTTTCTCATCACCGATCGTAGTCACGAAGCGACTGATGCCAGCCGTTATGGAAGATTCGGTTGCGTTAGTTAATTTATTCTACATTGGAAGTTCTTTTAAAAATTAAAACCAACACGTACGGTACTACCAACAATCAATACGAAACTAACGATTTTAAATTGGCTCACTACTTGACTAGCCTATTGGTCCCAAGCAAACGATTAACGTACCCCATTCTTGTCGAAATTCTAGTACTACGCAATGTTTGTTTTGATTCGTCCTATGTTTCGAGGGGTGAATCGATTAGCTTGGGACCGAAGGGAGTACCAGAGCTGAGCCAAAAAGTTGAGCACGTTATTTCGGGACCTTCTAGTCTTAGAGTTACCTCTATGGTACTACTGCACAAACAAGACTGAGTTTTATTCCTTTACTAAATGTATTCGAAGTCCATGCTGAGAATCTTAGTCAGCGATAATGGTCCCTACTCAGCATAAACAATCCTCCGTCGATATCACCATCGTTGTTGCCAACGACGGTGTACGATATTCCACATGAACGATGCCATCGTCAGCATATCGCGTCGATGCTATGTGGGGTTGTTAACTAGACCCCCCTAAGTGTGAGGCTCCGTACGAACAATTTTACTAAACGGTAAAATTTGGAATCTCCTTCCTTCATCGAGGGTCTGCTCTTGGGTCTGCTCTTGTTGGTGTACTTGGACTTCAACCTTTGATCTTCTACGACGTAAAGAAAACAAGAAGAAAACAGCACATATGATAAAAGGAGTGATTGAAAATCCTCCAAAAAATGTCCAATGTTTAATGCTGGTGGTGTTTAGACGGATTTCCTCCATCTCTTTCCTTACCTCCAGGTGTAGATTATGCAGATGATGTAGGCTCAGATTAACAAAGGTATGTTGTTTTTCGATAGGAATACCATACAGCGGTAAGTAAATAGGTTCACCTGTGATGCTCTGGTTATAGTTTGAAAACAGGTAAGTCCCAGACAGGTTCCTTTCAAATGGACCGCAGTTGGAATGCATGGTAAATTTTCCTAATATATTCGTGATGAAGTGTTGGTTATCAATCGACACGATCTCTTCCACCGGATTCGCTAAATAATCACAATTTGGCTGTTTTCCCGTTTAGCAGGGTTGGTACACACGTCGTAGAATCCAGTGTTATGTCCTTGGAATTGAAGATCGTTGGCTGTAGGCTGCTAACGGTGCAATACTCGTTTCCGTAATTTATGTACTTACTATTGGAAATATGAGGTTGTTGACGATGGAACCATATTGGTAAAACATAAATTTTCTTGAAGACCCTGGTATCCACCTTCGGTAGCTTGAGTAGAAGTGCGATATCGAGCTCGTTGGTGACTATAGATGTGGTGACGTAGGTTAGTGCTTCAGCGATGTTCGAAACTGTCAGATTCTCTTTGCGTAAATCCTTAACTAGTAAATCAATTTCGGCCTAACTTAACACTTTTTCATTAAGTATCCCTGCTTTTGCTAATGTTACTGTTTGTATAATTTGATATATCCCTATATTGCGTTGAAACGTTTTTCGGCCATCCACATGTAATGAATTTTTATAATTTCAGCCAAATATTTGTCCGTTTGAGTTTCTTTCGAAACTAACGCCAAATCTATGGGTAAATCATTAAAAAAAATTAAGCTTTTTATGTATTCCTGGTCCAAACTACTTGGTATTCTTTGATCAAGTGGAAATCTGCTACAGAAATCTGCATTCCCTAACTTAGAACAAAAATTGAGTTGTACCCATCTTTTCCAAAAATACCTATTAGAGGTTTGTGATCAGTGAATACTTTAAATTGTTGACCAAAAAGAAACTTATGGAATTTTTTGATAACGCACACCAAAGCCAAAGCTTCTAAATGTAGTATTGGGTAATATTTTTGCGCCACATTTAATGAAAATGAAGTGAAACATATTGGACGTTCAATTTCATTCTCTGTCTGTGCTAACACTCCTCCTAAACCATAGGTGCAAGCATCTGTGACAACTATTAAAGGTTTTTTTTGGATCATAGAAAGCGAGAAGGTTGGCCTTCAACAGGTTTTCTTTACTCTCTCTGAAAGCCTTGTCACATTCATTGGTCCAATCAAAGGAAACATCTTTCCTCAAAAGGTTGTACAAACATTTTAGCTTCCTGGAAGCATTTGGCACAAATTTGTTGTAATAGTTGATTAAACCGAGATACGCTTTTAACTCTGTTACATTGTCAGGAGATTTTGCTTTTTCAATAGTTAAGATTTTGTCTGGTGAAGGCAACAATCCGTCACCTGTAATCAAATGTCCCAGATATTGTAGAGAGGTAACGAAAAATTTACATTTTTTTAAATTAACATGAATATTTGCATTGGAGAGTCTTTCAAGAACTTTCTCCAACTTGTCCAAGCATTCTTTGAGCGTCTTGTCAGCTATGAGCACGTCATCAAGGTAACAACAAACCCCATTCAGTCCTTTGAGGACCTGGTCCATCACTTGCTGGAAGACAGCTGCACTAGAACTAGCGCCTTGGGGCAATCGATTATAAGAGTAGAGTCCTTTAATTGTATTTATGATTACATACTTTTTTGAACGTTGAGACAATTTCAACTGTGTATATGCACCAGCTAAGTCAAGAGAGCAGAAAACTTTACAACCCGCCAAAGAAGCAAAAATATCCTCTGCTAGAGGAAGAGGATAAGTATTTGAGATCAATATTTTGTTTAACGATACTTTGCAGTCAATTACCATTCTAACTTCTCCATCCTTTTTCATTACAGCTATGACCGGAGAAGCCCATTCACTAGCCTGAATGGGAGTGATCACCCCCTGATTCTCCAGCATGGTCAAATGTTCCATAAACTTATCCTTAATTTTGAATGGTACTTGATACGCTTTTCTGAAAATCGGTTGTTCTGATTTCAAAGTTAGCTCCGCTTCAAAACCTATAATTGGCTCTGTAAAGTCTTTATTGAACACCTTATAATATTTTTGCTTTATCGTACTTAAAACCTGTTCCGAATTTCCAGCGATATCCAAACTGTTTACTGAAGTTTGCATGAATTGGTCCTTCCAGTTAGGGTAGAACACCTTCCTCCAATCTCTACCCAAAAGCGGTGTAAAATCCCTAGATGTTTTTAGAACAATCAGTTTCCTTTCAGTGCTAAGTCCATTCAAAATGACTTCAACTAAAATTTCTCCAACTACAGCGATTTTTGAACCATTAACTACTACGAGCGTTTTGTCACATTTAGAAACCGGAATCGCAGAAAAAGCTTGCTGGTACTGGATTTCGCTGATAACCGCTACTGCTGAACCAGTGTCTACTTCCACAGATAGTTTAATGCCCTGAACCACAACATCGACTAAACATGCTTCTGATACTCTGTTAATGCGACCAATCATCATGCAACTGATTTCAGAATCTTCTTCACTGGATTCGTTAACACGAATTCTGTTAAATTTATCAGTAACTGAAGTTTCTACTATCTCCTCTTTCTCTACGAAATTAACGGATTTTCCCCGGTTGTTGTTCTGCAGAAAGTAGCAATTTTTGCGGATATGTCCCTTACGTTTACAGTAATTACACACTGCACTAGTATGAATGTTCTTGACTCGATTCTCATGATAATCTTGGCGGTAATCCCTAGCCCACTCACGATCACGATTTCTATAAAGATCGTAACTCCTACTACGTTCATTGCTCCTACTGCGATCACGACTCCAGCTGCGATTGCGAGGTCTGTCACTATCTCTCCTACGATCATAATCGTTGGGTCTTCTGCCTAATCGCTGCCTAACCGATAGAACCTTGCTCGACTCACCAAAATCATCCATGTGTTCAGCCCTATTTTCTGCCTTTTCACTGCTGATGATTGTTTTCTCCACCGTCTCTAATTTTACATCATCCATAAGTAATTTTTTCCTCAATTCTTTATCACGTAGGCCAATAATTAAACGATCACGAATAGCTTCGTCCTTAAATTCCCGAAAGTTACAATTTTCTGCAAGAAGTTTAACCACGAGCACAAAATTCTCAGCTGACTCATTAGGTTTTTGTAAACGATTGTAAAATTCGTAGCGATTCATTAAAGCCGGCTCCACTTTATCTAAACGTGCTTTTAATTTTTTTTATCATCTCATCATACGGTATTGTGCTTACTTCTTTTTTTGGAAAAATTAACTTAACCTCTTCGAAAACTTCATCTCCACTCACAGAAATAAACCAGGACTGTTTAGTATCGTCCGACACTTGATTCAGCTTACACAAAATTTTAAATCGCTCCACATAATTTGTAAAAGATTTATGCCGTTGGTACTGGTCAATCGACCCAATCATACCAGGCGTACTCATTTCGATGCCTCTACTGTAGCTAGCAAAATAAATTAAAACAAATCAAAACTCTACTCACGGTTGCTGCAGATTGGTCTCACCGAGTAGTTAGCCACGAAGTCTCGATATTTTATTCGTCTCCAAAACGATTGTCGCTTCCAGCATATAAGGGAGAACAGCCCATAATGCACCCCTGGGGTAAAATGCCCACTTTTAGAAAAACAGCGATAACTTTTCCTCAGATGCATTTTCCGGGTAACGGTTTGTGATTGTTTTCAACTGAAGGTTTCACAAATAATTCTTGATCATAAAATCATGTATTGACCTGCTGATTCCTTAAAAAAATTACATTTTGTGCAAAACAGGACACAGTTGTTAAAATCATCGACTGTAAATTAAGCATCATATATCACAAAAAAAAAATAACAAATTTACGTTTCGTATATTTTTTAGATATTTTACTTGATGAATCACAGTTTAACATTCTATTGAGATTTTGAGACCTTATTTCTGATGTAACATAAAGAAATAATCATTTGAAATACCGCATCCCTTTGCATTATCTACTTGCAGGGGTTATGGTTTGTTTACCATGGGGTGCATTTTACCCCAATGTTGTCGTGCGTCTTGTCCCAATGTTGTGGTGCATATTGCATCATGAATCAGGCGTTTTGCCCCGCTATCATATTGGAAGCAATTTAGAAAATACCTTGAAAGTCATGGAAAATCATCCTTTTGTAGTTCTAAATCACTCGATCTTTGTAGAAAACATGGTAATGAACCAAACGCCATTACTTTCTTCTTGATTTTAGCTTCCATTCGCCAGCCATTGACGATTTTGCTTAAAGGGTGCGTTTTGCACCATCCTACCCTACCTCTTTCCTCAAACGTGCAACTGAAGCTCCAACGACGACGGTCGTCTACTTCTGTTAAAATTAAATCAACGCTCCAACACCAGGCTCACGACAATCCAAATGCCCTGTTCAATTTCTAATTAGAATCACTGCTGTTAGTGCTGTAGTCAATCACCGGTGGCTGCGATGTGCTTCTCACAACCGGCAGGTTGAAATGTGAGTAGTGAGTAAGATTTTCACTCCAAAAGTTCTCACTTCGTAAGACCGCATCAGTTTCTCTCACCTATGCCTGCTGCACTCACTTTCTCTCGGATGGTAGCAAAATAGCAGCAAACTCACCAAAGCACTAGCAACACACAAAACAACAACAACAGCAGCAGCAACAGCAACTCTCACGTTCTTCTTGATATTTTGAGCAGTTCTTGCCGCTCATACGGAAGTACATATTTTTTTTTTGACTTGGTACACCGAGCGCAATGCAGAGAAGATCGTGAGAACAAAGCGCGTTGTTCTGACTACAATCTGTGAAATAAAAGAAATGAAAAACAAAATGGTGTTACAACCACGCTATGATTATCTGATAAATCCAACTATTTCTCAATGTTAATATATATATATATATTCGTAGCGAATTTCGCCTTTTAAATGACTCAACAGGCTTTATAATTGCTTCTTTTATCAAAACAATTATCAAGTAAAACCCGTCTGCCGATTTACAAGTCGCTTGAATTGCTAGGCTCAAGGAAACTCTACAAGTACTTACGCTGACTCACACTGGAAGTACCTTCCGTTTGAGCTACCTGTACTTTTCACTATAACTTTTTACCAATTTTCCGTCGTCGCCACTGTTATTAACGGTAACTGATCACTACTATGTGATTTGTTTAATTATTAAGGATTAACTAGTGTTAATCAATCTTTCTTCTTATCTTAAATAAAAGCTCAACGATGTAGATTGGATTCAACTCCGTCTCTTTCAACGGCTCATGCTAGACTAGCCTAGCTCTTTATTCTGGACTCTCATCTCGAGTCTCTTTTTGTATCTTGATTGATTACACTCTAAATCATTAATTACTCTGAACAGGGTAGATACTACACAGTTATCATCAAATTTGGATATCGCCTAGGTTTTTTTGTTCAAAATTAAATTCTGCTGAGAAATACGTATCCACATTTTCGAGTTTGTCAAAAATGGATTTTTAATCCACGATTTTTTTGGCATTTTTTGGGTGAAAAAAATTGACTTTTTTTACTAAGGCCACAACTTTTGAAAAAATTAATTTAAGAAAATCGGAATACGTATTTCTAACCCAAATTTCATTACTTATCAGGATTTTTGTTCGATTTATGTTCCAGGATCACATGGAAAGGAGTATTTTCCCACGCCGTTTTCCGACTTCCGCGCGAGGACGCCCGCGCGACCTAGTGCACTGGCCAAGGGGAGACGCCAATCGAGTTAAAAAAAATACAAATTGTAGTTCGAAGGATGACTAATAAATGGGTTATAACATATTTGCCCTCCCTGAGTATTTTATTGCTTAAAAAATTAACGAAAATGCCTTACTTTTTGGACGTTCAAAGTGTACTACCTCCTTAAAAGTAATTTCTTACTGCTCAAAAATCCCTCTTCAAGACGTATGTGCCATCTCTAAATCAAAATAGTTTTACTTCATTTTTGAGGACATATCTTTCCAAGTCGTTTAGAACCAGAAAAACGAAAAAAATTGAGGATTTATGAACATTCGAAAAATAAACCGCACCCTACTGGAGTGGCCTCCTGAAAATTGCACCATTCGTGTCTACAGACTGACAGCTGTTTATGATGTTTTTTGGGTGAGGTAATTAATGAGGATTCCAAGCAATCCCGGAATAAACAAGACTTTCAGGAACTGATTTATTTTACCCCGTAATTTAGGAATTACGGGCTTTACCAAAAACTAAAATTTTATAAATTGTGCCTAACGCATCTTTCGTTTTTGAAGCATCCCGACTCATGTTGACAGTTGTCAATAACAGATCCCATCCCACTTCAGAACCAGTTTCTACAGTCACCGATAACTATTAAATCCAATTAGCGAAACACATGTCAGTCATAAATTTCACGCCAATTCCATCGATTGTTTCATCGCCGCTAGCACCCCCATCGGCTGCATCCTTTCCCAGTTCTTGAAAACCACTTTTTTTTATCCATTTCCAATTCGATGACGCTTACCGTCGTCAACCCCTTGCTGAGAGGAGAGGACACGGATTCTTTCAAAAGATTCGAAAGAAAAAATCATCAAACAGCAATTAAAAAGGACTTGTAAAATCGACGACGACGTCCAAGGAACATAAAACAGTAAAGAGATTTTTTTTTATTGAACGTGAAATTGGGACTGGGACTTGGGAATTCTCGTAAACGGACCCATTCGGGGCGACAAGAGTTTGAAACCATAAATTATTCAACACGCTTCGGGCCTTGCTTCGGAGCAGCAGCAGCATTTTGTGGCCACGATGACGTGAGCTTGAAGGCAAACAAGAGCGAACTGACTGACGGACTGACTGGCTGTGGTGGATGAAAACATTAAAAGTCAACGACGTGAAACATGGTTATATTTAGCAATAAAACAACAATAATAACGTTGCCCCGAATGGCGGTCGAGTGATAATATTTCTCTGTTTTGGTATTTTAATTCACAATATTCAATAAATTATAATATACCTCACGTTGCTGCTAGGGGTCTCTCCTGTCAGTTTGAGACTATTACCCATGTGATCTCATGCGAGAAGAAAACAACACCACTGTCCTTTTATCGGGACTGCTCGTTGGATGACGGTCGGTGCCATAAAGGTATAAAGGCATAAAAGTTAACGCCCATATGGAACGATGGGTAAACATGGGCAATTGTATTGATGCTGATGATGGTTCGGTTAGTGGTTTGAACGGCATATGAGACGTTGAGAATGGTACGATTGTGCACATTTCGGTGCTTATTTTAATAGACGTTATTATAAGCACAATGTTTGTCTCTCCTTCCATTACGAATAATGCAATCGAAACATGCAGCGGAATAGGGACAGTATTCCTGTATCCAACTGAAAAAGAAGTGTTCCAGTTATGGCACTATTGCTCTTAAATCGCGATGAAAATAAGTATTTCCATATTTTTCAACGCATATGCA